GCAGGAGCCCAAGTGCTGAGTGTGGCATCCTGAGGTGCGGATCGTGTCTGCTGTCAGGGCTATGTAGGGCACCGAGCTCCTCAGCGCTGCCGGCGGCTCCCCAGGGCCGTGGGAGGAGAGCTCAGCTCTTCCAAACCTCAGCCTGCTCCCCGTGGCACCCAGCTGGGGGCTGGCATCGCCCCGTGCCCACAGGGAGAGCCCTTTGTGCCACAGCCAGCCTGGCCTTGAGAAATGGAGCACAGGAGCACCACCAACACAGCCGAGAGTGGAGGAGCTCAGGGCTGAGCCCCAGGCGATGGCAGCGCGGTCCCTGCAGAGGAGAGGCCACAAAGGCGGCAGGAGGAGCAGGGATTGGGGCAGTTCCAGGACTTTAGGGCAATTCCAGCAGCTCCAGGGCAAGGAAAAGAAGGAAGCCCAAGCCCTGACTCTGCAGCGCGGGGAGGAATCGCTGCCATGCTGATGGACGGCTCTGCTGGGAGCGAGGGATGGAGGCTGCCAGCAGGGTTTGGGATTGGGCCTGGTCATCAGAACCCCTGTGTTTGTGTATCCCTGTGCTTGGGATCATGTCCAGATCATCAGAACCCCTGTGTTTGTGTATCCCTGTGTTTGGGATCGTGTCCTGATCATCAGAACCCCTGTGTTTGTGTATCCCTGTGTTTGGGATCATGTCCTGATCATCAGAACCCCTGTGTTTGGGATCATGTCCTGATCATCAGAACCCCTGTGTTTGTGTATCCCTGTGATTGGGATCATGTCCTGATCATCAGGACCCCTGTGTTTGTGTATCCCTGTGCTTGGGATCGTGTCCTGATCATCAGAACCCCTGTGTTTGTGTATCCCTGTGCTTGGGATCATGTCCTGATCATCAAAACCCCTGTGTTTGTGTATTGCCCCGACAACCATCCTGACACCTCCAGCCTGCTTGGATTTCGGGTACAAACCTTCATCCCCAGCCAGCAGAGAAGCAGCAGAAGACCCAAGACAAACCCCACCCAGGAGATGTCCCTGGCACAGCATTTCTCCTGCACAAAACCACCTCACCCAGAGCTGAGGCAGCAAACCAGCACATGGCATTTGCTGAGGACAGAGAGAGGGCTCTGAAAGGTCTTGGCTGGAAAAAAGCTTTTGTTAAAGAAATGTTAAAAATAAATAAATTGACTTTTTGTCCCTGCAGGAGGGGATTCCGCAGCACGGCAGTGGTTCAGCAGGGAATTGTGTCCTATGGAAAGCCTCACCTGGAGAGCTCCTGCAAGCACTGAGTGGCTGCAGGGGTTGCACTGGCCAGACTGGACCTCTCCGTGGTTCCTTTGTGTGCAGATGTTAAACAAAAAACCCCACATTTATCTGTTTGTTAATTCCAGGCTGCCCCTGAGGGGGAACAAATATCCATCGGTCAGAAATTCTATTTTCAGACACATTTGGGTGAATTCCTCACTCTCTGGAGTGCTTTACCTCCAAGAACCTGACATGAAGCTCAGCCTAGCAGAGTGCTGCTCGTTCCCTCTGAGGAGACTCCAGCCACCTTGTTGACTGTAACAGGGCTGAGGCAGAGTCCCATTTATTCCTGCCAAAAATATCTCCAACTGAGAGATGAGGCAAGGCTGTGGGGGGTGTGCAGCCTGAAGGAGAAAGAAAGGGAGGGAAGGATCCAGCTGCTGCCTTGGGCTGTCCGATGGGAAAGGGGCAGCCAGGCTCCTCTGGGACACACAGCAAAAGGACAGGAGGGAACAGGTACAAGATGCAGCAAGGGAACAATTATTCACCTGAGAATGAACAAACCCAGCACCCAAAGAAGCTGAGAAATGTCCAGTGAGATGTTCAAAACTCAGCAGGACTGGTTCTGAGCCAGCTGGGACAGCTTTAAAGCCAGTCCAGAGCAGAGACCTGCAGGTCCTGTCCAAGCCCAGCTCTTCTGCAATGCTAATCCTCCTCCCAAACCTCACAGTTCTGTTCCCAGCAGCTCAACAAACACAGCTGAGGAGCCGAGGGCAGGCCCACGGGACAGGGAGGGGACACAGAGCCCTGCCAAGGGCTGAGGAAAACCATCCAAACCAGACAGCAAACAGGAATATTTGCAATCCCTCCGGAGTCCCAGTGTGCCCTGGGACTGACAGTGGTCAGAGCTTCCCCTGCTTCCAGCAGAGCTGCACAAACAGGACATGGTTTTCTTGTAAAAACCTTTGTTTGTGTTTTCAAACCCACACCTCGGGTGCTACAGGGAGATTGCTGGTCCATGAGCTGGGATCCAAACAGATGTTTGCATGTCCTGCCCCCTGCCAGCAGCTCCTTCCCAAACACAGAGTGTTCTGTGCAGCTCTGCTTCCCTCACACTTCCCCTCCAATCCCCCAGCACAGGGGACAAACCTGCCTCAGGAAAAGCCTGGCTTGCAGGGAAGGGACTCAGCCTCTCCTGGCTGGTTCCAGGCACTATCACCTGGTGCCAGGGGAGTGTCAGTGCCCAGGCAGCTGTTCTGCATGGCCAGGAGGCTCCCAGCTCCCTCCCCATCTCACAGCAATCCCTGCCACACAGAAATAACTCCAAGCCTCTTTGCTGGAGGATACTTCCACGTGGGCTTGTCCCATCTCACCTGCAGGTCACCAGACACAGGAAAATGTCCCTGTCCTGGATGCCCAGGGGCAATCCCGAATTCCCCTTTTTGCTCCCAAGCTGTGGAGTGGTTTTTCCTCAGATGAATTCAAATCCTTTCCTCCTGTTTTGACTGGGAACCCCTAAAAGCTCTGAGATGCTGCAGTGACTCAGAGTAAGGAGGTAAATAAAGTAGGTGAGAATAGATTTCCCTGGCTTCAATCATCAGGAGGAATCATTTGCATCCTGAGAACACCCTGTAACACACATCTCCTTCCACCATCACCTGGAAACTCACTCCCAGCTCCCAGGGACAATTGTCACTGCTGACTTGGTAACGCTGCTGGAGTCTGGTTTTGGGAGACAAGAGCATCTCAAACTCACTTCTCATCCCTTCCAAACCAATCTTCCTGCCTGTGTTGCATCAGGGGAAGAGAAGTGCAGAAATCTCAACCTTAATTGCCAACTCATTGCTGGGAAGCAGTGCTCAGGGCAGGAGGAGATCCTGGCAGAGAGAATCCAGACACGGCAGGGCTCTGCACAGGGGTGCCAAAGAGCTCCACCAACTTCTGCACCTCACAGCAGCAGTCTCTCACGACAAGATTGCAGCAAATCTCTTAAAATCCATGTGAAACCCAGGGAATTTGGTCTTTATACAACCCTGGGGCACCTCCTCTCGAGGGTCCACCGAAACACCGTAGTGATGCGATTTTTGGAATTGTTGCCCCCCAGACCCAATAGCGCCTTGCAGCATCCCTGCTTTATGCTGTGCTGCCACAAAAGACAAGGAGGATCAGCCCTGGGATGAAGTTTTGGCCCCTGGACTTGGGCAGGAATCCACCAAGCCCCTGGGTGCCAGAGAGGAGAAACCCCTCATGGATGTTTAATCACTGCTGAGCGGTGGAATGAGTCTGTAGCAGTCTCCCAGATGTGTTTTTCTGGCCCCTACACATCTGGTTTGACCACTGACCCTGTCCTGAGGGGACAGCACCAGAACTTGGAAGAGCACAGAGAGGAAGCAGTCTCGCTCCAAAGGCTTTGCTCACAGCGGTGCTCAGGCTGTGCCCTCAGAGATCCAGGTACCCTCAGCACAGGTCCAGTTTGGTGCCTTTTTACAGCGATGAAACAAGGCACAAAACCAGACCCCAAACAGCCTGACCGGCCCTGGGAGCAGACCCAGCCTGCCAAAACATTCTGAGACCACACCAGCTCCAGGGATTTAGTCCCACTGCACCCACGATGCCCACTCAGCCTTCACACCTGTGAGCCCTTGCCTGGCAGAGGCAGTGCCCCACCAGCTCCCGCTGTTTGCTCACCAGAGCCCTGGCACAGGAGCCATCTGGAGCGCTGGCACACCATGCCAGGGACACACTCCCAGCTCCTCAGTGTGCCAGGGCTCTGCCTCCCAGACCTGGAGACTGAAGTGTGTGCCCGGCACGGCTCGGCACCGGCAGCAGCCGCGCCGGCGCTCCCCACACCTCCCTCCTCGGCTTCCCCGGCGGGCACCTCCGCTGCTGGCCCTGGCTCGGTGCCACCCTGCCCCCAGATTTGCCAAGAGGCAGAAGCTCAGGCATTAATTCATTCCAGCCTAAATCAAACAAGTGAAATTCCCCCCCCAAGCAGGAGCTTTCCTGCCGTGCTCATTTGCACCAAATTACATCCCAGAAGGCATACAGTACACAGTCACAGGTGAGGCAGCATGGACGGGCTGAAGGGCTGGGTAGATGGTGGGAAAAGAATGAAACAGAAAATGGAATGGACAGAATGAGAACTGAATTAGTGACATTTGCATCCTCATCGTAACTAGGGGAGCTGGCTCCTTCTGAATCACTGAAATCCCAGTGCAGCGCAGAGCGCTCTCCTCCCCCTGGAAAACAGCTCCTTCCTCGCTCTACACTCAGCTCTGTGCTTGCAGGAAGGCTGCAGCATTTCCTATGGCAGCTTTTTTTTTTTTTTTATTGCAGTTACAAATGAATTATTGCTCGGATGGGGACCGAGCATCTCTCCTGCCACACAAACATGGTGCTAATGCACAGTGCGTACCGTGGCGTTGGCAGTGTAAATAAGCTCGGGGTTTATACTGCACAGGGAAGGTGCAGTGCAAGTTAACAGTGGTGTGTGGCAGCCCCACGGTCTTAGGCTGTCATTCAGACATGCTTTAGGCATATAAAATTAAAAAAAAATCAAGAAGCACCTATAAAAAATTTAAAGGAACTGGTTTCCTTCTGCTCCAGCTCCCTATTTCATAACACAACTTTAGCGCTGGCGTGGCTCTTTAACATAGCTCTCCAAAGGATGTGATCCACCACCCCTCCAGCCCGTGGAGGCACTAATCCTTTCCCTCACATTTAAAAGATAAAAGGTGCAGCCTCCCCCGCCCAGCCTCCCCAGCAGCACTGCAGTCCTGCAATACCTTTGTCCGACATCACTCCCCATGGATCCCATCCTCCGAGACGGTAACAAGGGGCTCACCCCGTGGACATCTTCTGTCGTTCCTGGTGGGACAGTTTTGACGTGGGAATTGCTCTCTGAAGGGGAATTCTTCAGCTTGGCTCTTGCCATCCTGCGAGCCTCGGCTGCCTCTGTGACTTCCTCCTGTTTCCCCCCTGAACTCTCTCATACATGGCAATCCTCACCGCAATCAGTTCAGAGCTGTCGGCACGTACCATCTCCTTCCTTCTTCTCTCTCCCCAGTCACGGCTGCTCAGTGGAACAATCCTGCCCTGTACATTTATTTTGGTAGTGAGGGGAGTCAAGGCAAACTCTCTGGCCTTGCTGCTGCAACAAATCTGGTGCAAAGCCACCGAGAAAACATCCACGATGCAGAAATCTCTGAAAGGGCTTTGTTTGCTAAATAACGAAATTGCCTTGCCTGACTCTGTCAAAAGAAGGATTGCACTGCTCTTATCACCACAGGCAGGGCAGGGGCTGAAGGATTATTTTTTTCCCCATCGCTGTTTTTCGGTAGCAACATGAGGAGGAGGAAGCTATTTTATCTTATTCCGCTGTGTACAGAGCAGCGTGCACACTGCGTGCCAGGGAACAGACTCAGCAGGTTTGGCTCTCTCAGCCACAAAGCAGCAGAGCTCTGTCCCCTCCTAAATGCACCCTCTGGGAGCCAAGCCAGAGAGGAACTTGCTGCTGCTCCCTCCGAGTGGCCAGCAGGGCTCAGTTCCTGCTCACCTGGCCAATGTCACCTGTCACCTGGCCCGCAGTGACTCACCTTTCCCTCTTCAGGTGACAGCAAAAGCTGCTGCTCCTTCAGCACTCTTGGCATCCATTTCTCAAAATATCCAACAGAAAAGGGAATTCAGCGTGCCCAGGGGAGAGATGGGCTGGACAGAACCTCTGAGTGCACGGGTGGGGTTACAAAGGGCTGGGGGGAAAGGATCATGGATCCTTCCCTATTTTGGGAGTGCCACCAGTCCAGAGCTGCCCCTGGTTGTGTTTGATGGCAGCCAGGAGCAAAAAGCATCCAGGAGGTGCCACAGCCTGGGCTCAGCACCACGGACAGCAGTGTCACCACAGCACGGCGGGGTCAGTGTCACCCAGCTCCTGCCATGGCACCCCCAGCGTGCCAACCCCACCCCAAGGGGTGCCAACACATCACACCAGGGCTGCCCCACGGCCCAGCCCCACTGCAGTGGGGCTTTGCAGGCTGGAAATTAAGAATAAATTCACTGATGGCCACCACGTCGTGACCTAAACCAATGTGAATAGTCGGGCTCCAGCACGGGATTTCTTTAAATGTGGCTGTACAAAAAGTGACTGGAAGGGTCGGGGCAGAGCCTGGGACCTGTGCTGGGAGAAGGAGGCTGGGAGAGCAGGGCAGGAGCTGCTCTGGATGGGAATTCTGGGATTCACAGAATGAAAGGCTGACAATTCCCTTGGGCACAGCTCCGTGCCCCAGCCACACCTTCCATCGCCCTGCCAGGCTGTCAGAACACCCAGAATCACCTCCTGTGCCAAAGGCTGGGAAGAAAAGGCCGGTCCTTTGCTTCCTCCCTGCTGCCAGGAGCTGCCAGGCACTCTGCCCTCTGCTCTTCCCCCTGGCATCATTTGCCCCGTGGCACAAAGGCAGTCCCCAAAGATTTCCTGTTAACCAAATCCTGGTTTCCCTGCTCACAGCGTTATTTCTTAATGGGATTTCACCATCCGACATACTTTGTTTCTGCATTTTGGAATGCAAAATGGATAAAAACCCACAGCCCTTTTCTTAATGTGCCAGCTTTCAGTGTACATTTAATTTCTTGTTTTGCCTCGAAATGATTCATTAGCTCAATACATCAATTTTCCACCCAAGTCATTCCTTTCTGCTTCATGGTTTGATTCAGACTCTTCAACTTATTGCTCCACCTCTCTTTACTTCAGGGTGTTGTCCTCAAACACCAAATTTAATCTGTCAGCCCTCTGCGTTGGAGCATGCCCTGATAAATCCTCCTGGACCAGAGAGCCACTGGGATGGGGCAATCAGGTGTCTCTTTTTGGATGAATTCCATATTCTATTGTACTCCTAATTGCAGAAGAACATTAATTTTAGGCTTGAGATTAGATGTGAAAAGGGGCTTAGGCTTAAGTTATTCGTCTCAGCACTAATGCCCTCACACAGCAGCAGGAACAGAAGAGGGATTAGGGAAAGACCTGGGGAATTTTAACAGAATATATAAACTCTCCTGTCATACTTGTGCTGTGCAGAAGGTGACAAAGAGCCCCGTGAGGAGCTCAGATCCTGCCCACAGAAGCCTCTCCCCACAGTCACCTTTTCTGTCAAGTGCTTAAACACAAACCAAGACAGGAAAAGCAGAGAGAGGGGAATGATCTGACCCCAGGCCACGAGAAACTGCCAGCAGGGCTGTGGGTCAGAGCAAATATTCCCCTTCTGGGGGAGAAGGGATGTGTCCCAACGCTGAGCAGAACCCCTGAGAGCCCGGCTGATCCCCAGAGCAGCTCCTCTGCTGTGCTTCCACCAGAAAACTCCTCTCTCAGCAGTGCAGTGTGTTCCCAATTCACCCAAAGACCCAGAGCCCAGCAGCCTCTCCCCTCCTGCTGTGTCCAGGGGGGAGCAGAAGCTCCCAGCAAAGGCAGCCCAGCACATCCAGCACACCCAGAGCACTGCCTGGCAGGAAACAGCCTGTTCCTAGAAAGAGCTGTGGCTGTCACCTGAGCCAGCTCTGCAGGGACACATCCCTGTGCCTCTGCCCAGGGGACACGCAGCACGCTCCACGTGGGCACCTTGTTTGTACAGGGAATCCGGGGGGGAAAACCAACACAACACAACCTCAGCAACTTCAAAGCCCAGATAAGAATTCCTCTGGTCCAGAAACACTTCCTGGGCCAGCTGAGTGCCAACCATCTGACTGCAAGCCAGGAAAGTGGTGTTTAATTTTAGTTTGAGAGCCCATTACAAAGTGCTGATTTCTCATTTCAGCATCCACATTATGCAGAGACCACTGCTGTGCCGGGGGCTGGAGGGATGGCTGGGAACTGCTGAGCAGCACTTGCTGGGGTAATAATATTTCAGAAAATAAGATTAAGGAAGAAGCAGATTCTTCATTGCTCTTAATTGAATCCACAGCAACTGCATTGTTAAATATTCTCCCTTTTATCCAGGCCACTTTTAGTCCTGGCTGCCAAAACTCCCTTTACTCACGTGTCCAACTTATTAATAATAAAGCATCACCCTGTCCATTAGAAGGAGTTGATGACACAGGAAGGGGTTGAGTTTTTCCCATTTTCTGGCAAACAAAACTGCTCTGTTGAGATACAACCCTGGGTGTTGTTTTGCAAGACCCCTTCAGGGAAAGCCAGGTTAACGTATTGTAAAATCTTGAAAGGAATCAGCTCTGCAAAGACCATTCCAAACCCACAAGAGGTAACCTGGGTGGGAAAACACACTTTGGAAGAAGAGCTTGTGCTCATGAGCAGCCAGAGCCTCACAGGAGACATCATCAGAGGTGCTGCTGTAAGGAGGGGCTGTGCTCATACAAATAAAGTGTTAACTCCAGGGACCCCGAGCTGCAAAGCCATTAATGCTCATTATTATCCCCCCAGGAACCCCTGGCCATCCTTGGCAAGCAGCTCTAGGAAAATCACCTTTCCCTGCATGGCCCCTCTGTGTTTCTGTGCCTTTGCAGAGCAACCCTGACCTCCCCTTATTTATTTAATAACACCAAGGAAAAACAAGATCCCACGTAATTTATGACTGCCACAAACACCTCCTGTATTTCAAGACCCCAACAAATGTCACAGCATGACATTATCAGCTCAATAAACCTCAGAGGGCTCAGTTAAATGCACAAAGCTGCCTGGCACAGCCTCTTGCTGGAGTGTTTTTCACAAAGTGCACACGCACCAGCTCTGCCCTGAGCTGCTAGGGAATGCCCTACATTGTCACCAGGCACTCTGCAAAATTGCTTTTCAAAAGCTGCCAAGGTTTGGAAGTTGCCAAGGCTCAGGCAGAGCTCTGCAAAAAACACCCCCCATCCCACCAAGAACCCTGCAGCCAAGCCGGAAAAAACACCAGCTGAAATATCCCTCTGCAGCAGAACTGCCTGGAAATGCCCGTGTTTCTGAGAAAATCTAAAGATTTGATTTTTTTTCTCTGCTCACTAATCGTTCTCCATCCCAATGGGAAGTTAAAATCACAGAAAAAGGAGCTTCTGCTTCCTCACCAGAATGTTTTTTCCTCTGACATTTGTCTCAGTGAAAATAGTAGATTTGCCAAAAAGAAAAAAAAATAAAATAAAATAAAAAATGTTGGTGCTTTATCCTCTTTCTCTGTGTAGAACTTGGCCTATCCCTGCCTGTGCAGTGCCAGAGCTGCTCCCACGCACACACGGACACACTCAGAGCCCTGAGGGACTGCCAGGATCCCCTCACCTGCTCCCCTGACAGCACACCCTGCTCAAGAGTGCCCAAAAAACTCTTTTCCTGACAAAACAGCTCCTTCTGCCAGGATTTTTGACTATCCATCAGCTCCTGGAACTGCAGTTAATGAGAGTTGAGCCCAAAGAGCTCCAGTTCCTTTCACTGTCAAACATACAATACCAATACATTGATTAACGCAGATTGTGGATATTACAACATACAGCAGATGCCTGGGAAGGGATTTATGTAGGTATTTATTAATAAAAGTGCTTTTAGGAAACACTTTTATCTATTGATCCCGAGTCAATTAAAAAAACTTCTCTCCATTTTCTCTCCATTAGCCTGGAGAGGAAAGTCCTCCCTGGCATGGGAGCAGGAGCTCAGCGCTGCTGGGAGGGCAGCAGGGTCTGTCAGAGATGAAATCTGAAATGCACAGAGGATCAAACCCCTCCTGAGGGGCTGCAGAAAGATGGGGTGGAGGGTGAATCCTACCTGCCACTCCCAGAGAGGGGCACCCAGTGAGCTGGGGCTGATCCTTTTTGGAGAAACACGGATCTGTGGGGCATCCAGTGAGCTGGGGTTAATCCTTGTGGGACAGACACACATCCATGGGGCACCCAGGTGAGCTGGGACTGATCCTTGTGGGACAGACACACATCCATGGGGCACCCAGGTGAGCTGGAGCTGATCCCCATGGGACAGACACACATCCATGGGGCACCCAGGTGAGCTGGGGCTGATCCCCTGGGACAGACACACATCCATGGGGCACCCAGGTGAGCTGGGGCTGATCCCTGTGGGACAGACACACATCCATGGGGCACCCAGGTGAGCTGGGGCTGATCCTTGTGGGACAGACACACATCCATGGGGCACCCAGGTGAGCTGGGGCTGATCCCCATGGGACAGACACACATCCATGGGGCATCCAGTGAGCTGGGGCTGATCCTTGTGGGACAGACACACATCCATGGGGCACCCAGGTGAGCTGGGGCTGATCCCCATGGGACAGACACACATCCGCCTCCACCTGCCTGGGCTCCCTGCAGGCTGGAGAGGGCCAGGGTGCACCAGGGGGATGTAGAACAGGACAGAAAAGAGGGAGGAAACACTTAAAACTCAGTGTCTTCACGGGAAGAGGTCATGGCCTCTTTTGAGTCCTCCCACTAAGCAACTAATGAATGACTAAAGGAATTATTTCAATGGAATTTCTCCATGCACTACACAGGGAGCACTAAGGATCAGAGGACACTCAGGAGCTGGGAGAATATTCCCAAGCAATGGGACTTTGAGCAGTTTG